AGAGCCCAACTTGCAATGTCCAGTCATTCCAGAGTAGAGGGTAAAAACACAGCACTGATTGCTGTATATTAACTATCTAGAACTTATTCATCTTATATAACTGTACTCTTTTGTACCCTTTGATAAACATCTCCTCATTTCTCTTTTCCCTCCCTAGTCGTGACACCCACCATTTTACTCTCTGGTTCTATGAGTTTGAATATTTTAGATTTCACATGCAAATAAGATCATGCAGTATTTATCTTTCTGTTTCTGGCTTATATCAGTTAACATAATGTCCTCCAGCTTCATTCATGTTTTTGCAAAGGACAGGATTTCCTTTATTTTTTAAAACCTGACAATATTTGTGTGTGTGTGTGTGTGTGTGTGTGTGTGTGTGTGCATCACATTTTCTTTATCCATTCATCATCAGAAATTTTGGTTGTTTCCATGTGTTGGCTATATAACAGATATCTATCCAAGATTCTGATTTCATTTTCTTTAGAGATATATCCACAATTGGTATTGCTGGATTATATGGTAGTTCTATTTTAATTTTTTGAGGAATTCCAATACATTCTCTACAATGGCTGTATTAGTTTACATTCCCTCCAACAGTGTACAAGAGTTTCTTTTGTCCACATCCTTGCCAACATGTGTTATTTTTTATCTTTTTGCTATATTGCAGGTGCATGCCAACACACCTGGATAATTTTTTATATTTTTGGTAGAGACAGGGTTTCACCATGTTGGCCAGGCTGGTTTCGAACCCCTGAACTCAAGTGATCCACCCGCCTCAGCCTCTCAAAGTGCCGGGATTACAGGTGTGAGCCACTATGCCTAGCCTATTTTTTCTATTTCTATAAAGAATGGCATTTGGGTATTGATAGGTCTAGCATTGAATCTGGAGATCACTTTGGGTAGTATGAACATTTTAAGAATATTAGCTCTTCCAATTTTTAAACATGAGATGTCTTGATATTTATCTATATCTTCTTTAACATTCTTCGTCAGTATTTTATAATTTCCAGTGTAAAAGTCTTTCACCTCCTTCGTTAAGTTTATTCCTAAGTACTTATTCCTTTTGTAAATGTGATTGCTTTCTTAATTTTATTTTCATTTATTTGTTGTCTGTGTGTAGAAACATCATTGATTTTTGTATGCTGATTTTTTATCTTTCAAATTTACTTAATTCATTTATTAGTTTTAACAGACTTTTTGTTATCGTGGAGTCTTTAGGTTTTTCTACACGTGTGTTTATGTCATTTGCACACAGAGAATAGGATTTTAATTCTTCTTTTCCAGTTTGGATGCATTTCATTTCTTTTTCTTGTCTAATTGCTTTGGTTAGGGATTCCAGTGCAATGTTGAGTAAAAGTGGAGAGGGGGCATCTTGCCTTGCATGGGATCTTAGGGGAAAAGCTTCTGTTTTTGTTTTGTTTTTTTTCCCCCCATTGATTATGACGTTAGTTGTGGGCTTTTCACATATGGTCTTTATTGTGTTATGGTAAGTTTCTTCTATACCTATTTTATTTATTTATTTTACAATTTATTTTATAATAGAGATGAATTTTGCTATGTCGCTCACGCTGGTCTTGAATTCCTGGGCTCAAGCGATACTCCTGTCTCAGCCTCTCAAAATACTGGGATTATAGCCATGAGCCACTGTGCCTGGCCTATACCTATTTTGTTGAGAGTTCTTTTCTTTTCTTTTTTCCCCTATTCATTTCTTTTCTTTTCTTTTCCTTTCTTTTCTCCTCCTCCTCTTCCTCTTCTTTTTTCTTTCCTCTTCCTCCTTCTTCTTCTTTCTTCTTCTCCTTTTCTTTCTCCTTCTCCTTCTTCTCCTTCTTCTCCTCCTCCTTCTTCATCTTCATTTAAAATCATGAATGGATGTTGAATTTGGTCACATGCCTTTTGTACATCTATGGACATAATCGTGTGTGTGTGTGTGTGTGTGTGTGTGTGTGTGTGTGTGTGTGAATCTTTCAGCCTGTGGATGTGCTGTACCATCCTTGCACATGCAGAATCATCCTTGTATCCAGGGGTAAACCCCACCTGTTCCTGATGTATGATCTTCTTAACATGCTGTTGAATTTGGTTTGCTAGTATTTTACTAAGAATTTTTCATTTAGTATCTGTTAATGTTTATCAGAGGTAGACTGGCTTGTAGTTTCTTTTATTTTCTGGTGTTGTCTTTGCTTTGCTTTGCTTTGGGATCAGGGTGATGCTGACCTCATAAAACAATTTTGGAAGTGTTCCCTTTTCTATTTTTTGAAGACTTTAAGAAGAATTCATATTAAATCATCTTTGAATGTTTGGTAGAACGTTCAGCTATGAAGCGATCTGGTCCTGGGCTTTTCTTTTTTGAGAGATTTTTGATTATTAAGTAAATCTCCTTCTTTGTTATTGGTATGTTCAGGCTTTCTATTTTTTCTTGATTTGGGTTTTTTTTTTTTAGGTTGAATGTTTCTAGGAATTTATCTATTTATGTCTTTTAATTTATGTAGCTTGTTGGTGTATAATTGTTCAAAATATTCCCTTATGATCCTATTTATTTATTTGAGACATGGTCTTTCTCTGTCACCTAGGCTAGATTGCAGAGGCTTGATCACAGCTCACTGCAGCCTCAACCTCCCAGGCTCAAGTAATCCTCCCACCTCAGCTTTATAAGTAGCTGGGACTACAGGCATGCACCACCATGCCTGGATGATTTCCTTCCTTCCTTCCTTCCTTCCTTCCTTCCTTCCTTCCTTCCCTCCCTCCTTCCCTCCTTCCCTCCTTCCCTCCCTCCCTCCTTCTTTCCCTCCTTTCTTCCTTTCCTTTCCTTTCCTTTCTTTTCTTTTCTTTTCTTTTCTTTTCTTTTCTTTCTTTGTAGACGGGGTCTCACTTTGTTGCCCAGGCAGGTCTTGAATTACTGGGCTCAAGAGATCCACCTGCCTTGTCCTCCCAAGTGTTGGGATTACAGGTGTCAGCCTTTTTATTTCTGGCACATCTGTTGTAATAGCTCCTTTTTTCATTTCTGAGTTTATTTATTTGAGTCTTCTCTCTTTTTTCATAGTGTAGCTAAGGATTTGTCAACTTTGTTTAATTTTTCAAAAAAACCATCTCCTAGTTTTATTTTTTCTATTGTTTTTCTATTATCTGTTTGATTTATTTCTGCTGTAATCTTTATTATTTCATTTTTTTTCTGCTAAGTTTGTTTCTCTTTTTTTAGTTCATTGAGTTATACTTTTAGGTTGCTTATTTGAGATCTTTCTTCTTTTTTAATGTTTGCTTATCTCCATAAACTTCCCACTTAGTACTGCTTTTACTGCATCCTATAGGTTTGGTGTGCTGTGTTTTAATTTTCATTTGTCTGAAGACATTTTTAAAATTCCCTTTGGTTTTCCTTTTTGACCCAATGGTTGTTCAACATGTGGTGTTTGATTTCTGTCTATTTGTGAATTTTTCCATTTTTTTACTGTTATTAATTTCTAGGTTCATTTCTTGTTGTAAAAAATATTTTTGGAATGATTTAATTCTCCTTAAGTTTCTTGAGACTTGTTCTGTGACCAAACGTGTGCTCTTTCCTGGAGAATATACCCTGTGCATGTAACAAGACATATTGAGAAGTCGGGTGGTCTTTTCCTCACACCATTTTTCTCACCTAATGCTTATAATGAGGTTAGTTCATTTTACATCTAACGTTTTCTCAGCCTGGAGCTAAGACACCTCATGCACCTTTGACAAAGTCATTCGGTCCTGAGAATGAGTATCTTAGCGACCTGGTATGGCAGAGGACACATTCATCATGGAAAAAGTCAGAGGAAAAGGGTCAGGATTAGCATGGGTCGGGGGCCTGGTCCTGAGCTGGGGGGAGAAAAAGGCACGTTGGAGTGGGAACAAAGCAGGTATTTCTATCTCCCACTTAGAACTGTGTCCTGGTACTTGAGATGAACCATCTGAGGCCACCAGGGGGCAGCAGGGGACTAGGTTGGGGATGATGATTGATACAGTTTATCCTGACCTTTAAAAAGTCCCTGAATCTGCTGGGCGCGGTGACTCAGGCCTGTAATCCCAGCACTTTCGGGAGGCCAAGGCGGGTGGATCACAAGGTCAGGAGATCGAGACCATCCTGGCCAACATGGCGAAACGCCGTCTCTACTAAAAACACAAAAATTAGCTGGGCATGGTGGCTCGTGCCTGTAATCCTAGCTACTCAGGAGCCTGAGGCAGGAGAACTGCTTGAACCTGGGAGTTGGGGGTTGCAGTGAGCCGAGATTGTGCCACTGCGCTCCAGCCTGGCGACAGAGCAAGACTCCATCTAAAAAAAGAAAAAAGGAAGACCCTGAATCTAAAAAAAAAGGAATGTGACTTTATGATTAACTATGAACAGCCAGCTGCTCATTCATAAAAAGCCATTAAAGTTAAAAAAAATAATAAAAAGAAAGAAATCTCAGGAGCTATTTACCCTTGAATATCTCTAAAGGTACTGGGAAGCGGTGCTCCAAATCTGTTGTGGCCCAGTGAATTCCTTTTTAGAAGCAGCATTAATGGTCCTAGTTCAACATGTCAGCCCCCAACTTTAAACCACTGCAGGGGCAGGGGATGCAGCGGTGCTTAGAACCCACCCTCGCTGAGAGAGCCAAGATGGTTGGGCAGGGGATGAGGAAATGAGAAGTCCCATCACTGTCTGAAGTCTCTGGGAGGAGGAGTGATTGAACTTTCCCGTCCAGCCTGGGAGCCTGTCCTCACATTCATCCTTCACAGCACAAAGGAGAAGTCCTGATTTCCTCAGCCTGAAGCTCCTGCAATAGCGAGGGTTCGGATACCTCTGGACTGGCCTGATGTACTGGGCACTCTCATGGGTTCAGTCTCGGGAAATCCATGCCTAGGCTGGATTAATCCCCTAGCCTGAGCCTCACAGGGAAGCAGAAGTCTCTGAGCCCAGGCCCAGGTGAGGGTGGGGTGGGGAGAGGAGCTTGGGACGAAGATTTGCACGGAGGCCCCGCCCTCCTCTGAGGCAGGGCGGATAAGAGAGGCAGTGCTGGGGTGTCAGGAGGCAGCGCTCTCAGTCTCCACCATGGCCTGGGCTCTGCTCCTCCTCACTCTCCTCACTCATGGCACGGGTGACACCTCCAGGGAAGTGGCCTCAGGGACCTCTGGGCTGATGCTTGCTCTTCTGCTCCTGCTCCTCAAGGTCACCGGGCCCAGCACTGACCCAGTAGAGTGTGTTTCTCCTTCTTTCCAGGGTCCTGGGCCCGGTCTGCCCTGACTGAGCTTCCTTTTGTGTCCCAGGCTCCAGGACAGTTAGTCACCATCTCCTGCACTGGAACCAGCAGTGACGTTAGGGTACCAACAGCGTCTCAGCACTACCTCCAGACTCCTGATTTACAGTGTCAACACTCGGCCCTCAGGGATCTCTGACCACTTCTCAGGCTCCAAGTCTGGCAACATGGCTTCCCTGACCATCTCTGGGCTCAAGTCCAAGGATGAGGCTAATTATCACTGCAGCTTATATTCAAGCAGTTACACTTTCCACAGTGGTCCAAGTTCCTGGGGGAACTGAGACCAAAACCTGCCCTGGGCTCTCAGGCTCCCTCTTTGCTCTGAAGATGCTTCCTCACGCTGTGCAAGGGGCTTCCTGCAACAGGGCCTTGAGAATTCACTTCTCTGTCAGCTCCTCTCCTTTTCCATCATGAATTCCCAAAGGAAACCTCCTCTCTTGTTTACTCTCTGAGATATGACAGCTTCCTGTTTACTCATATGATGGATGTCCTGTCTGAATTGGAAACTACTTCCAGCTCTTTAACAGGAAGTACATACTGGCAGGGAAATGCCTGCCTAGTGCAGTCCTCATACTTCTCCGGATGATCCTCACTTGATTATTTATTTTTATTTTTGTATGCACTAAAGTTTGTCAGTGTAAATCCTTACGTTAAATGCCTCTACTTCCCACATTGTGCAGCACAGCCTGGATTCAGAAATGACGTTGTCCTCTTCAATGATAAAGGACCACTGCTCTATGAACACCCAACTCTAGTGAAGATAGTCCACCTTGCTGGGTTATTCATGTACATCTTTTGTGGAAGCAGCAACCACTGTGTAAAGCTCTGAAGATGTTTTAAAGCAAAGAGGAAGATGTGTGTGTGTGTGTGTGTGTGTGTGTGTGTACGTGTGTGTGTAGGGTCCATCCTCTTTGCCCTAATACCTCAGGTTGCTGAGCTACAGACTATTTGAGTGACAGACTTGGTGCCCTCTCAGGATCCCCCTCCTCTCATATCACTGAGCCCCTGTCCTCGAAACACTCAACAGGTGGAGGATCTCCCCATAGTATGGAAGTTTCCAAAATGGCTCCACAGGGAAGAGTTGAGCTGAACACACCCACCCTTCCTCACGGGCATCAAATATATCTAATTTCTCTGGGGAAATCAATAGATTTCTAGCTGGAATCCTGATTAATCAACAGACTGTGAGAATTAAAAATTTAAAAAAGATTCAGACATATCCAGAGTCCAGTATTTGAATTCTCTGGAATTTTGTGAGCCAATTTTTAAACATAGTCATTATTATAGTTTAGAGTTCGTGAACCTCAATTAAATAGATTCTATTAAACACAAAGTGCCTTAGTTGTCTATTGTTGCATAAAAATTACTCCTAAAATTAACATATTCTTAATGAGAACACATATGTATTAATCTGTTTTCACACTGCTATAAAAAATATCTTATTTATAAAAGAAAGAGGTTTAACTGGCTCACAGTTCCACATGGCTGGGGAGGCCTCAGGAACTTAGAATCACGGTGGAAGGCAAAGGGGAAGCAAGAACTTTATTCACAAGGTGGCAGGTGAGAAGAGCTGGGGAGGGTGAACTTCCAAATACTTTTTTTTTTTTGAGATGGAGTCTCACTCTGTTGCCCAGGCTAGAGTGCAGTGGCGTGATCTCGGCTGACTGCAGCTTCTGTTCCCAGGTGCAAGTGATTCTCCCACCTCAGCCTCCGAGTAGCTGGGATTACAGGCATGCGTCACCAAGACCGATTAATTTTTATATTTTTAGTAGAGATAGGGTTTCACCATGTTGGCCAGGCTGGACTCGAACTCCTGACCTCAAGTGATCTGCGCACCTAGGCCTCCCAAAATGCTGGGATTACAGGTGCAAGCCATTGTGCCTGGCCTCAAACAATTTTAAAACCATCAGCTCTCACGATAACTCCCTAACCATCATGAGAACAGCAAGGGGGAAACTGCCCCCATGATCCAATCCCTCCCCTCCCTCAACATGTGGGGATTACAGATCCCTCCTTCAATACATGGGGATTAGAATTTGAGATGAGATTTGGGTGGAGACACAGAGTCAAACCCTATCAACATATTTGTGATCTTGTGGTTTTGCTGCATCGGGAATTTGAGAGCTGCTTAGTTTGGTGGTTCTGACTCTGGGCTCCTCATGAAATTGCATTGAGGGGCTGCGTTCAGAGGCCAGAGCATGTGGCCAGGCCCAGCCTCAGGAGGCTTCCACTGTCCCTAACCTCTTTGGCAGATGTAGATGAGTTCAGGGAAAAGGGGAACTCCCCACAGTGGGTAGAATCCCAGTGTCAGAGGGAAAGCACCATGGAGCAGAGGGCCCAGCACAGGGCCCTGGGGGTGCACTCAGACCTACCTGGTGGGATGGTGGGAAGGGGCATTCGCAGCAGGGACGGGATAAAGGGCCTCTGTCCAGGGTCCTGAGCTGTCTTGGCAGCTCAGTCACATTGGTTCTCAGGCAAATCGGAGGTAAACCCTATCCTGCGTTTTACCGCTGAAAATGGGTACAGTTTGAACTAGGAGTGTTCAAACTTTTTCTATCCACATTGACTTCTTAATAACCACGATTCAATTTTTTTAAACCCCAGCCTAGTTTAGCTACATAGCTTCCAAATGTTTTGCTAGTGTGAAACTGAGCAATTAGTTAATCAGAGCATTTTATTTTGGTTACATGTTTATACATGTGCTATGTTGGTGTGCTGCACCCGTTAACTCGTCATTTACATTAGGCATATCTCCTAATGCTCTCCCTCTCCCCTCCCCCGACCCCATGACAGGCTCCGGTGTGTGATGTGCCCCTTCCTGTGTCCAAGTGTTCGCACTGTTCAATTCACACCTATGAGTGAGAACATGCAGTGTTTGGTTTTCTGTTCTCGCAATAGTTTGCTCAGAATGATGGTTTCCAGCTTCATGCATGTCCCTACAAAGGACGTGAACTCATCCTTTTTAAATGGCTGCATAGTATTCCATGGTGTATATGTGCCACATTTTCTTAATCCAGTCTATCATTGATGGACATTTGGGTTGGTTCCAAGTCTTTGCTATTGTGACTAGTGCCACAATAAACATACGTGTGCATGTGTCTTTATAGCAGCATGATTTATAATCCTTTGGGTATATACCCAGTAATCGGATGGCTGGGTCATATGGTACATCTAGTTCTAGATCCTTGAAGAATTGCCACACTGTCTTCCACAATGGTTGAACTAGTTTAGAGTCCCACCAAAAGTGTAAAAGTGTTCCTATTTCTCCACATCCTCTCCAGCACCTGTTGTTTCCTGACTTTTTAAGGCTCGCTATTCTAACTGGTGTGAGGTGCTATCTCATTGTGGTTTTGATTTGCATTTCTTATCAGAGCATTTTAAATTTGAACAGATTCCTTGGTCTTTCTATGGGTAATTAGTCAAAGCTTAGGTATGGCGTAGAGGATCTTTACCAAATGCTTTTCTAGACTCCGGTTTCATTGGCCTTATAGCAGCTGTTTCATCTGGGCCATGCAGGATTAGGAGAGTTTTTACTCTCTTGACGTAGCCTCTATAACATGCCTATCCTTTCTGCCAGTATAAAAACAGCTGTGCTTTCTCTCCACCTGTCTCTCCTGCTGTCTCCCTGTTTTTCCTATTGAATATGCAACTGTGTTTGTAATCCATCTTGCATTCTGAGAAGATGAGAATTTTTTTTCATAAAGAGTGACCTAAAATAGCTTTAAAGATGATCAGAAGTCACAACTGCATACTTACTGGAGTGCAATACCAAATGTGGCCTCTGATTACAGTAACCTGGATCTTACAGTTGAAGCAATTCAGCCCCTGTTACTTGTGGACAGATTCGTACGTCTGTGGATGAGAAGATGAGCTATTGGAGGTGGATATGTTTATTCGTACCAGCAGAAGTCAGGCCGGACCCCTGTGCCAGTCATCTATAAGGATAGCAAGTGGCCCTCAGGGACCCCTGAGTGATTCTCTGGCTCTAACTTGTGGAACACAGCCACTCTGACCATTAGTGGGGTCCAGGCCAGGGATGAGCCTATTACTATAGCACCTATGATGGCAGTGGGAGCAGCAGGCAGTGGCTTACAGTGAAACAGACAGATGGGGATGTGGGACAGGAACCTCTAATATGACTTGACTCAAAATCTCACATCCCCTCTAAGCCAGGGTGTCCAATCTTTAGGCTTCCCTGGGCCACATTGGAAGAAGAAAAATTGTCTTGGGCCACACATAAATACACTAACGCTAACAATAGCTGATGAGCTTAAAAAATAGCATTAGGAGATATACCTAATGTAAATGATGAGTTAATGAGTGCAGCACACCAACATAGCACATGTATCCATATGTAACAAACCAGCACGTTGTGCATATGTACCCTAGAACTTAAAGTATAATAAAAAAAGTAGAGAACAGATACAAAATACAAAATACAAAAAAAAAATGCAAAAAAAACCCTCATAATGTTTTAAGAAAGTTTACAAATTTATGTGGGGCCACGTTCAAAGCCATCCTAGGCTGCATGTGGCCTGCAGGCTACAGGCTGGACAAGCTTGCTCTAAGCAGCAACCATGACTTTGGTCTCTGTTCACTCAGATGGTTTTTCACGGTAGCCAAAGCAGCGGGAGAAATTGTCAGATTTCTATTTAACCACAAATTTTACAATTACGTTCATTATAAAACCAAACATCTTGTCCCTTTATTACCTGGGCCCTACAGAGGCCAGTGCATACGTTTATGGGATGAGAAATGTCTCCAGAGAGCTTGGTTTTCACACTAGAGACAGTCCTTTCCCTCCCTTTCAACATGGAGTGTGGCAGGAAAGGAACCAGTTCTCTG